GGGGGGGGGGGGGGGGGGGGGGGGGGGGGGGGGAGCTGAGCCTGGGAGGGAGGCCGGAAGCGCTTCTGCAGCGGCAGGTTTATAGAATTGTCCTTTGGCTTGGTGAGATTTTGCAGCTTTAACTACAAAAATGTCTCCTCCGTGCTCTTCTCATTAGTCTCAAATTCTTCTCATTAGTCTCAAATTGTTGCACGTCAACCAAATGTCCAGTGCAGCCTAAATAGGGAGCTTTCCAGCCTTTTTTCTTTGAAGCCACTAAGCGCATCCATTTTGCACTGACTGGTAGAAACCAATTGCACTGCTTCACTTCCCCTTGGAAATCACATTATTTATTTAACGGCTGCGTGTCACATTTCAGTGTGCAGTGTCTTGCCTTCTCCATTTCTTTTGGAAGTTTCCCGTTTAAAAACAGGAAACATGTCAGTTGGCAAATGCATTCAGCCAGAGGGTGGGTGAGCGGGACCGAGGATCAGTCGACGTTGTCTAGAAACAGCTTTAACGGAGACGTGTTGGAAGTATTATTAAAGTGTGATTCTACTTTTGCAGAAAAAAAATCTAAAGATCAGTTTATATAGCTTTATTTTTTACCTTAAGAAAATATATGTAATTTTAATATGCATATATTGTCTCTGACTTAAAATTGTGATGTGTCTGCATTGCCATTTAAATGTCCATTCATTATGTAACATAGTAAAAGAGAACCTTCAAAATGCATTTAACGTGAACGGTATCTATAGTTGTCATCATCATAAATACTGGAATTTATTTTTAAATTATTGATATGGTAGGTGCGTTTAAGATGACCAATCAGCCTCCACATAGTAATGTTAACCGCTTTGAAAAATTAAGTTGTGATTAAACCAAATCTTACATTTCTGTAAAGTTTATTTTGTATGCTACTGTTTTTAACTTTTATTTCTGTAGATAAAGTATGACTTGATAATATTATATTGGACTTTTCTGCAGATTAAGCAGGAGACTTGAATCTGCTTGCAATAAAGAAGAAAATATGTCTGGTTTGCTTTCCTTATAAATAAAAAAACGAGCAGCTGGGCTCAAATCCCTGGGGACAGAAGCAGCAGGTGAACCTCTCACCCGAGTCTGGGCTGAAGGTGGGGCGTCCTCCCGGAAACGGGGGGCGGCGCCTGCGCTCGCAGGGACCCCAGTGTGGCCCTGGTGCTCAGAAGGGAGGAAGGGACGCTGGGCATCATCAGATCGCTGGATCTCCGGCCGCCCCGCTCCCCCGCCCGGGCCATCCCGCCCGCGCCACACAGGAGCCCTGCGCCCGCTGCTCACACCCCGCTCTGCCAGGATGGGCGGCCGGCTGGTTTCGTGCATCCCGCTCCCCACCCACTCAGGTCCCCGGCGCTGCCCCCTCTTCCTCAGGGGGCCATTTGCCCCACCCCCCCCCGGCCGCTCTCCCCCTCCAGCTCCTCTCGGACGACTGACCTCCGACCCACACAACCTGACACCAGGCCCCAGATCCCAGGATTGTGACCCGATAATGGAGGCAAGAGTGGAGCCCTGAGGTTGGGGATGCCCCCTCTGGGGTTGCCGCCTCACGGGCCCCCCTCCCCTGCCCCCGGAGGGACCAGCTCCGGCCCTAGGGCTCCATGTGTACAGCCCTAAATTGGGGGCCTTTCCCCGAGCAGGCACACAGCACGTGCTGAGTGTCACGCGCTGAAGCTGAATGGGTGACGCCCCGGTCGCCCACCAAACTCGGCGGCCAGCACCAGCCTCTGGGAAACGCAACAGGAGGGAAGTGCCTCCGCTGCTACCTGATTCCGGGGCCTCTGGCCCGGCTGTTGGTTGTCCCGGGTCCACACCTGCCTCAGGTGGCCCGAGCCTGGGGCCGCACTACCCCTGGTGGCTGGTGACTACACTTGCCTGGCACGAGGCTCGTAGGGGTGACGCCAGCCCCACCCACCTGTGCCCACGCGACCACACAACACGGGCGGCGCCTGCTCCTGTCCTAGCTTAACACCCTCTTTCACGGGGAAGCCTTGAGAACACATAATGTTTCCATTTCTTTCCTACATTAAGGGGATACCACTTAATGTCTTCTCATGTTTATTTGGGGGGAGGGGGGAAGGGCGGGAAGCGGGCTCCAGGCTCCCAGCTGTCAGCACAGAGCCCGCCACCAGGCTCGAACTCACGAACCGTGAGATCAAGACCTGAGCTGAAGTCTGATGTTTACCCGACTGAGTGAGACAGGTGCCACCCAAGCTTTTTAATGTATTAATTCCCCTCGGGAAAATGCTCACCTCTGTACATTTTTATGATTTTGGGACTCATCGGAATAATTTGGGAACACTGAAATAGCCGATGCCCAACTCATCACTGAGATGCACTCACAGGAGTCAGATTCTTAACCAGCTGAACCACCCCGACATCCCCCAATTTATTTGTTTAAATTTTAATAAGAATATGGGTTCCTGGATGCATTGCTTATGAAGAGTATGTATTAGCTTTCAAAACTACTTGCACAAAATCATAATTTGAAAAAAAATCCACATCAATACTCTTATTCACTTGGTTTTTACAAGATTCAAAGAGAAAGGATTTTAAGATAATGAAGGATAAATATGTCCTCTTGAGAATCTCAGATAGTTTTAATATCTTTAGAATTTTTAAAGACCGACTATAAAGTCTCAAAATATGACTTAAATATGAAAAGAAATTTTTTAATGCTTATTTTGAGAGAGAGAGAGAGGGAGCACAAGGAGGGGGAGGGGCAGAGAGAGAGGGAGAGAGAGAATCGCAAGCAGGCTCCCCGCTGTCAGCACGGAGCCCAGTGCGGGGCTTGGTCTCAGGAGCCGGGAGATCACGGCCTGAAGTGAGACAAAAAGTCAGACGCTACATGGACTGCCACCCAGGCGCCCCTCAAAACAAATGTTTTAATTAGCTTACACTTTGTTTTGTTTCTGAATGATTACACTTCCTCAATGTTTATAAACTAGGGGAGCAAAAAGTATCTATGTCCCAGGAGGGCAAACGAAGGCTAAGATTCTGACCGGTGACGTCCGCATGTCACACTGAGACCCTGCTGCCACACTCAGCATTTGTAGGCCGTCGCAGTACTTCCTGTGTGAGCACTGCCTGGACAGGACAGCAGAAAAGGATAGTCAGGCAGAGGCGCCTGGGGGCTCAGTCGGTGAAGCGTCCGACTTCTGCTCAGGTCATGATCTCACGGTTCGTGGGTTCGAGCCCCGAGTCAGGCTCTGTGCTGACAGCTCGGAGCCCGGAGCCTGTTTCAGATTCTGTATCTCCGTCTCTCTCTGCCCCTCCCCTGCTCTCCCCTCCCCGCCCTCAAAAATAAACATTTTTTTTTTAAGAGAACAAATCTACACCTTTATTTATTTACTTTTCAGCTAGTTTAAATCCTTGAGGGGCGCAGCATCACACGGATTCTGTGGCCAAACGGCTTTAGCAGGAAGGTTGCTCCGGAATTTTGCACGAACCATGCCACGGTTTCCACGAGCACGAGTTACTTTTCCCCAGATTACTCTGGTTTTATTTGGTTTGCCACCAGGAGTCACTGTGTTGTTCTTTGCTTTGTACACAGAAGCACATCTCTTGCCCAGAGAGAACTCAGTTTCATCTCGAGCATAAACACCTTCAATTTCAAGAAGAGCGGTGTGCTCCCTCTGGTTCCTGAGACCCTGTTTATAGCCACCAAAAATGGCTTTGGACCACAGCCTTCCAGATGCATTTGCCGTTTCAGGAGTCCTGTTCCCCGCGGGCCTCCACGGGTTCCTGTACATTTTTTTTTTAATGAGAGAAAGAACAAAGATAATCAGGCAGCACAGAAATGGCCGTCCTGCCTGGAAATAAATCTGTCCTAAAGCGCCCCGTGCAGCGGGCGCTGCGAAGCCAGCTACCTGGCTGTCGGCCGTGTGGAGGTCCCGGCCCCCAGGACAAAGCCCCACAGACCAGGAATCACCGTGCGGGGGGGGGGGGGAGGAGAGCTCAGGGAGGGTCTGTTCCGGGCCCCCTACTGCCCCCCACCCCCCGCCCCGGAACCTCTGCTCCAGCTCCCCGGGCGTCTCCCCGTGAGCGAGTCTGTGTCTGGACGGCCCCTTTCGAAGACCAGGGCAGCAGGCGGGGCGGGGGTGTCCTTATTTCAGCCTAACGGCCTCCAGAAGGGCCCTTCTCCAGATAAGCTCACACTCTGCGGCCCTGCGAGTTAGGGTCTCAGCATACTTTTCCGAGGGGACACAATTCAACCCATAAGACCCTGTTGTGGGGGATCCCCTGGGATATTGGTCGGCTTCAGGGGGGCGAGCACAGAGACTGCTGTTCGGCCGTGCAGAGGTGAGCAGCAGAGGGAGGAGGTGCTACGTAGGGGCGAGGCTGGACCAGCCCGGCTCACAGCCCAGCCTGCAGCAGCCCTGGGGCTCGCTCGCCACCCCCCACTTCGTTGGGGTCCCCAGAGGGAAGCCCGCGACCCGGGCGGGCCTGACTGAGGATGGAGGAGGGACGAGCTCTGGGACTTGGCAGCCGGGGCCACAGGGCCTGTCCTTCCGCGCGGAACTCCAGGGCCCAGTGCTGGGTGCGCGTCCCACCGCTGGGGTCTGTTGCCACCGTCTGCACCCTGTTCTCTTCCTGGCCGCCCAGACCCGGCTCTCGTCTCCCACCCCGCACCCCAGGCCCCGGGGCCCCTGCAGGGAAGGAGGACCGCAGGGGTGCTCCCGCTGCATCTGTGGTCACGCGGCACCGAGGCTGCGCCTTGCCCCCCCCCCCCCCCCCCGCCGTGAGTGTCTCAGACTCGCGGATTCCTGGGGCCGGTGGCAGCTGTGGGGGGAGCTGTAGGGGGTGTGGGGGGGCTGCGGGGGGTGGGGGGGGCTGTAGGGGGTATGGGGGAGCTGTGGGGGGTGCAGGGGGCTGTAGGGGGCTGCAGGGGTGCGGGGGGCCTGCGGGGGTGTGGGGGGCTGTAGGGGGGTGAGGGGGGCTGCAGGGGTGCGGGGGGCTGTAGGGGGGTGCAGGGGATGTGGGGGGTTGTAGGGGGTGTGGGGGGGCTGTAGGTGGGTGCGGGGGGCTGCAGGGGGTGCGGGGGGGGTGCTGCAGGGGTGGAGGGACAGGCAGACAAGCCTGGCCATTTGCTGCCAGCAGGGTACTTGCGGGAAGGCCCCCATCCCGGCCGGGGCTGGCGGAGGGCAAAGCATGAAACCAAGGGCAGCGCGCTCGGGAGGAGCCAGTGAGGGACAGGAGCTGCTGTGAGGGTCCAGGCAGGCCTGTTGCCCACTCGGGGGCCAGACAAGAGACCAAGGTGTCCCCTCCCCCTCCCCCAGGTTGGTTCTCTGCGGCCCTCAAACGATGGCCCCTCCAGGGCCCCCGCAGGCCCCCCAGCTGGCCCCCTCCCCACCCTGGGCTCGGCATGGGAGGGCAGGCGCCCCCGAGGCGCCCGTGTTTTCCAGGGGGACGAGGGGTGTCACCTCCTTCCCCCACGTGCAGAGCAGGGAGGTGTTTACGGCCTAAGGGGTTATTACTGCTCTTGGACAGACTTTTTGCGAGAGCAATGCTTTTACATAAAGGATTTAATCTCAAACGGTAGTTTCAAACACAAAGAGAAAGGAGACCATCTGGAAGGCAGACGCGCCTCCCTAGGCTGGTCTCCGGGCACAGTGACCGACGGGGACAGCTCTGCACGGCTCCAAGCAGGAGGGCACAGACACACTGTCACACCCACGGGTGCCGGGAGCGGGTGGCCGTGTGCAGCGAGCACGTGCACGTGTTCAGGGAGCGTGTGCCCGTGCTCAGGGAGCAGGTGCCGGGAGCGGGTGCCCGTGTGCAGGGAGCAGGTGCCGGGAGCGGGTGCCCGTGTGCGCGAGCATGTGCACGTGTTCAGGGAGCGTGTGCCCGTGCTCAGGGAGCAGGTGCCGGGAGCGGGTGCCCGTGTGCAGCGAGCATGTGCCGGTGTTCAGGGAGCGGGTGCCCGTGTGCAGGGAGCAGGTGCCGGGAGCCCAGGGCGGCGGCAGGAGAGGCGGGGTCCTCCCTGCACGCTCCCCTCTCACGCTGACCCGGTCACGGAACGCAGAGGGCACTGCGGCCACAGTCCCGCCGCGTCTCTGCTCGGCTGTGCGCCTCCCTGGGCCCGTGTGTGACGGTCATTCCCGCGGGCCTCAGCGGGGAGCCGGAGCTGTGAGCGCCGCGAGGTCGCACAAAGGGCTCGCCCGGCCGTGACGAGCCGCCGGCTCTTGTGCCCTCTTGTGCCGGGGGTTCGCTTCCTCCGGAATTACCTCTCCTTCAACCGGCCCTGCGTCTTCCGAACGCACAGACAGGTGTCTACTCTGTGCCGCCTCCCCCGTGGCCGAGACCGTGTCCCCAGGCAGGAAGCTTTTGCGCAGAAGGACGGATGTCGGCTTGCGGCCCCGGATCCGGATCCGGGCCGCCGCACCCGCGCTCGGCTCCCCCGCCGCCTCCCCCGCTTTCCCGAACCCGCGGCGCGGAGCGGCCCCCCGGCCCCTCCCGCAGCCTCCTGGGCGTCTCCCCCCAGAGCCCCCCATGCTGTCCTGGGGGCCGCGCGCGCCTCCACGCGCCAGGCAAAGCGCCCGGCCTCCCGCGGCCCCTCCGAGAAGGGGAGCCCGTCTGGTTCTTGGGGCGCCGGCCTGCCCCCTGCCTGTTGTCCGCGCCCCGCCCGCGCGGCCCCAGGACCTCCCAGGGAGCGGGGCACCCGCACACCCTGCCCGCGCCCTGGCCACCGGGGTGCCCGGGTGCACACGGACCTCCCACAGGCCCTGCGATGCTCCAGAGCCACACGGCGGGGGGGCGGGGGGGGGGTGTCCCAGCCGGTCCCGGGCTTCCGAGCAGACGCACAGCTCCTTCGGGGTGGCGCTGCGCAGGTCCCCCGAGGCAGGGCGCGACCCCACGGCTTACAGGTGAGCCGGGGAGCTGGGGTCAGGCCGGGTCCGCCCCGGGGCAGAACTTCAAGCCCAGCTCGTGTCCCCTTAGGTGCGTGATGTGAATCCGGTCCCGGGCGACCCCAGGCGGAGGGGCAGGAGCCCAGCCCCTTGGCACGACCCCGCCCCCCGCCCGACACGCGGGGGAGGGGAGGGCGGGTTGGGTCGTCTCCTCCCCCTCCCGCCGCCCCCCTCCGCCTCCTTGACCACCCTGCCCCAGACCTTTACCCCTTTCTCCCCGCCCCCGCCCCCTGACCTGAGCCTCCTCCCTCCCTCCGCTCCTCCCACGGCCTCCACTCTCCCCCTCCGCCCTCCACCGCGGCCGCGCCCCCACCTTTCCCCGCCCCTCTCGTGCGCCCTCCTCCCCGCAGCCCTCCCCTCGGCCACCGCCGGACCTAGAGCGGCCCCTGTGGCGGAGGAGAGCACGCGGGAGGCCGGTCCGGAGGGGCAGGTGCGCGGGGCCGGGGGGCCGGGGGGCCGGGGGGCCGGCGGGGGGGCGGTGACGCGGCGGCGGGCCGACCCGACCCGGCTCCCAGCTGTCACCAGCTGGAGGGCGGGGGCTCCAAGTGCGCAGACGCCCCTCCCCGTCGTCACGGGGTCCCCTCGGACACGGACACGACAGGTGTCGCTCCCGGCCCCCCCCCCCCCCCCAACCCGGGCTCTTCCCCATGATTGGTCAGGGCTCAGGACAGGTGCGCGGCCGGGTGAGGGGCGGGTGGGCGTGGGGGGCCCAGGAGGAGGCCGCGCACCTGCGTCTTACCGACCTGGCGGCTGGCAGCCCGCGGCCGGAAGGGCGGTGTCGGGGTGGCCCCGGGCGGCTCGGGCAGGAGCAGCCTTTCCTCCCGCGCAAGCACAGCGCCTCCCCTGCTGGAGCCCCCGCCCGGGTGGGCGCGCCTGCAGGCCCCGGCCCAGGAAGGGGTTCAGGCGCGGGTGGCCACCAGCCAGGAAGTGCGTCCCCAGGGAGTCCTGGAGTGCTGGGCGCGAGGACCCACCTGGGGGGGGGGGGGAGCGCAGGGGCCTGTGCCCTGCAAATCCGCGAGGCCACGGCCCAAGCTGGTTCTGAGGGCGGCTGCCCCCGCCTCCCCCATCGGCTGTGGCCGCCGCACCAGCTCCCTGTGGGGTGGGGGCAGGGGACCCTCCTGCCGCGACCCTGGCGATGCCGAGGAGGGTGCTCTCTGGGGTGAGTCAGCTCCGTCCTAGGACGCCCGCAGTTTCCAGACCTGCCCCCTCGGCCCTCGCCCCCCCCCCCCCCCCCCCCGTGGGCTGGCGGCACCCTCCCGGGCCCTGATGGCACAGCCTGGGCCCGGCCGGCACTCCCGGCGCGGCGCCCCCGTGTCTGCGTCAGGTCTGCCTTCTGTGAAATGGGAGGGTCGCCTCGCCGCCTCACACAGTTGTGCAGAGAAGTGGCCTGTGCAGAGAGCTGCTGGAAAGCAGGGGTCTCAGAGCCCCAGAGGCTTGAGGCTTGGGGGGCCGGGGGCTTGGGGCTCCATGCTGCTGTCCCCAGTCTCCAGGGTGACTTTTTCAAGGCATGGCAGAGGCAAGGCTTCCTTCCAGAAGAACTCACAGGAACGGGTAGAAGGGGCAAGAGCGACGGGCGCAGAGCGGGCAGGGAACATCTGCCAGTGGGAAGGGCTGCGTGCGGCTTGGAACCCGCCGCCTCCGCCTCCCAGCAGAGCCCCCCCGGGCCGGGCTGGTGACCCCCCTTCTGAGCTTCAGGCCCCGTGGGGTGGTCTCAAGCCCAAACCTCAACTTTTTTCTGGGAAAGCGGCACCTTGGCGAGCGGAAGTGAGGTCACAGTCACGGCAGAAGGATGGTCTCTGCCGCCGGTTCGGCCGGCTTGTGTGACGTGGGGGGAGCCCTGCAGTTGAGCCAGAGGACCCTGCAGTGTCCGCGTGACATGCACGTAGCCTAGAATGCCACCGACCCACAGGGCACGTCGCAGCTGATGAAGTAGTTGCAAGCGTCCAGGGCACTTCTCTCGTGTTTGCTCGAGAACATCGATGAAGCTCTTCCCTGGCGGGTGGGGACTCCGAGCCACAGACACGTGGGCACGGGTGAAGGTGGGCCCGAACCCCCCCACACCCCGAAGCAGCCCCAGCAACGCTCAGTGACCCCCGTCCTTGGCAGAGGGCAGAAGATGGAGGTCGGTCTTCTCCCAAACACGCGCAGAAGCGACTTCGAGCCGAGCGCCGCACAGGAAGGCGGAGCGGGCGGGTAGAGTCTGGCGGTGCCGTCGGGGTGGCGGCCGGTAGAGGCCGGGGTGGGGGCACCCAGCTACCTGTAGCGTCTCTGTGGGCTCCGGGCGGCATAGCCTGCTTGCGGAGCTTCCTCTTGAGATGGGACATAACCTCCTGGCCTCCTGCTTCCTCGAGTGAGACTTCCAGAACGTTGAGTCCACGGTAGGATGTCCACGCTCCAGGGTTACCAGGAAACTAGGATGTACCAACTTTGGGGCCGGGCAGGGGAGGGGGTGAGGGGTGGCCACATCCCCTCCACCCTCACCCTTTCTCTTCTGGGACCATCTTCTTCGTTCATGAAGGATAACCCCGCCGTTTGAGAATTGGCGATTTGTACCTGACAACGCAGGGGTTAGCCGCAGCAGTGACGTGGCTGGTGGTGATGTTGTGGCTCCGCTGAGAAGCCGCAGGGACGTAGAGTCCGAGTTCCCGGCCTGGTGCCGCGCTCTGTTCAGCTCTGGCCGGGAACCTCCCTCGTGGCACCCCACCCGGTGGCCGCACGCAGCCAGGGTGCTGGCACGTTTGATGCCCAGAACAGGTGCGCCCAGGCCGGCTCCCCTGGGAGCCCCGTCAGGGCGGGGCTGTGGGTGCGGGAGCAGGCGCGCCGGGAGGCGGCCCGGGAAGAGCCGTGAGGCCGGTCGGCTTCGGGCTTGTGCGGGCTTGGCCCTGGCCCCGTCACCCAGCCCCCGGGGCCCTGTGTGCTGGGGGGGACAGAACCAGACACGGGTGCCGTCGCCCCTCTGGGCTCGGGCTCCTTACCGGGGCTCTTCCAGGAGCAGACAGGACCCCCAAAGGGCACCGACACGCTTTGGTGCTTGGTGGTTACAGTGAGGGTTTTCCGGTGAACAAGCCTCACATCTGGGTTTCTCTGTGCCCTTGGGGCTACACTCAGCGATGGAGAAGCCTCTGTGTCCTGCCCGTGTCTCTCTGCCGCGGGGCACCGGGTGCCCTGTCTCGAGCTGCTGGAGAAGTGTGGGCCTGGGGGAAGGGGGGAGCCCGCCCCCCAGGCCGCTGGAGCCAGCTGTCCTCGGGGCTGCAGGCTGACCCCCCGGGGGGAGAGGAGGCTGGGGCCTTGCAGTGGAGCGGGGAAGCCTCCCCTGTCCCTCGGCCGGGTGGGTGGACCACACGCTTTTGAGAACGAACTAATTAAAGCAGGACCTTGGGTGTCCTGCTTGTGTCTCAAGCCCAAGTGACTGGTGACGCTTGTGAACCGCGGCAGAGAGGGCTGGACGTCAGGGTGGGTGTGGGGGCGGGGCGGCGGGGGGGCTCCCTGGGCAGCGCTGGGAACAAAGGTGGACTCGCTCAGCCTTTTCTTTCCAGTCGGAGGGTTAAGATTACAATCAGCCTGCTCATTTGAAATTCTCCAAGCAGAATTTGGAAAAAGGGGGGAAAACAGGGTTTTGAGTTTTGTTTAGTTTTAACCTGGAAAATCATTCCTCCTAGTTTTCAGTGTCACAACCAGACTCAGTCGGAAGTCTTTAGACTGGGTCTGACCGTGGCCAGCGTGCGTGCCCTTCCTGGGTCACGGGGCGCGGTGTGATCGCCTTGGAAACGTGGTTGCGGGACCCAGGGGGACCCCAGGTGCTGCCGGGGAGGGGGTTCCCTGTCCCTCCCGCTCAGTGTGAAGGCTCCTCACCCTGACCCTGTGTGGGGAGGGTAAGAAAACGTCACAGGGACCCGAAACACAGGCCCGGAGGAGTTGCGAGCAGAACGCGCACGGGTAACCAGCGAGCTGGGACCAGCAGCGGTGTGCGTAAACACCGAGGGACGGGTGCGTTTTGAGGGACACAGCCGGCTGGAGCTGTGTGTCCGGGAAGGAAGAGGGAGGAAACGGGGTGCCTTCGTGCACAGGGGTGTGGAGTTGCTGCCCGATTCGCTTGGGAACTGGCTGTGTCCGCCGGCTAGCGGCGGCGCCTTCCTCCCCCCACCCGCCAGGCTCCGGGCCGAGGTTCTCACTAGGTGGCTGGGCGTCAGGGCGAACCGGAGGGACGGGATCGGCTGGGCCGGCCTGGGCAGGGCAGAGAGGGGCTTCGGGGGAAGGCCTGAAGGTGGTGGCCTGGTGGCCGGAGAGCACGGTGGCTGTGCCCTGTGGTGGCCCCTCCGGGGCGTGGCTTCAGGCAGGGACAGAAGCAGAATCTGAACAGTGAAGTGAAAAGGTGATGCTTGTGGAGCCACAAGCAAGGGTGGTTAAGTTGCACCGCTTACACCGTTACTCCTGAGGACGGAGCCCTGCAGGCGTGAGGTCCACAGAGGGACGTGATCACGAACCAGAAATAGGCTCCGAGAGCAGGCACCAAAACGCGTGGCCAGCAGTGCCCTGCTGAGGTGACCGCGTGCCCCCGGAGGGACACCAGGTGCCCCCGAGACGTGGTTACCAGCTGCCTCTTTAAATTCAACGTTGCTTCCAAAAAACTTGACTTAAGCTGCTTTGCCAAGTTTTCACTGGAGGGAGAATGCCTTAGTGTTTGTTCTGGAACGCAAGAGAACATTCTTCGCTCAGAGGATTTCACATGTTTTAAGTAATCCGAGTAAGCAACCAGCAATGGTTTTGAAAGTCTGCCAGTTCGGTGAATGAGACTGTGACCTTGACACCGGGGCAGCGGGGATTTTTATATCCTTGAAACAAGAGCCTAAATGTCAAGGGGAAAATCTAGGCCTTTGTTTTCCTTAAGCAGCGGAAGTAAATAACATTTTTGTTTCTGCACCCTTTTTCCACTTCAGTGTTGTGACGGCAGGTGGGCTTCGGGCTGAGCACTGGCACCATGCAGCTTGGTCGGAGGACAACGAGTGTCCTTGTGGACGTCCTCTGCCAGTTTCTGCACAGACACTGCAGAAGCCTGTGTCCAGTTATTTGGGCTTTATTCATAGAGGCGACGCCCATGTCCCTGGGCAGGGAGGCCTCACTTTCCTGTTGAAATCTGTTTCCGCACCGCAGACCCATGTTCGACTGCTGGAGATCCGTCCTGTGCAAGAGGGCCGGACGCGAGAGCCCTTCCCCCCTGAGACGACCCAATGAGGCTGAGAAGGAAGAAGGTGACCACCGGATCGATGTCCCTGACGTCGTCGGGCTCGTTCAAGACCGACCAGGGGGCTCAGACACGCCCACAGGTGGGGGCAGCTCCTTGTTCTGGTCCGGAAGCTCTGGCTACTGACGGGGCCCGAGGTCCTCCTCGTAGCCATCGTGGTCCGTGCGGGAGGCTGAGGTGTTTGGACCCAGGAGTGGAGTGTGGCGGGTGTCCCGGGCGCCTGCCGCGGGGGCCGGCTGCTGTCACCCGCGTGTGGCTGGCGGGCAGTCTCCCAGGAAGCTCCCCCTGGGCCGCCTGCTGGTTGCCCAGACGAGCGGTGGAAGACAGGTGGGCGCCAGCGGGAGAGAGCAGGTCATCGGGGTCGCGGTGACACGCCACATGCTTGAAGGGGACCGTGGCCAGGCTTCGCTCCAGTTCTCAAGCCACGAGAGCCATGGTTTGAAGCGGTGGGTGGAGCTCCTACTGGTCAGCAGGTCCACGGCCGGTGGCCCGGGGACAGATGAGCAGGACGCAAGGGGTGAGAGCCCCACCCTCCTCGGCGCCCAGCCTGACGCCGGTCCAGGCCCGCCCGCCCTCACCCCTGGCCAGTCTCTGAACGGAAGGGACTGCGCTGCGTTAATGCCAATCCTTCCTGTCCTGCTCTGAGAGTAGTTTTCACCGGACGGGGCGAGCAAGGCGCCACCACCAAGGGACAGCGTGACAGGGACGGCCACCGGGGCCGGGGCCGGAGCCAGGCAGGCCTCCTGGGATGCAGGGAACGCCGCTCCTCGCTCTGTACCTGGAGCGCTCTCGGCCTTGCCCCAGCTGGGCTCTGCCGCAACGGCCCGCTGGGTGGGGGCGTCCCCGGTGTCCCTGCGGGCTGTGTCCGTAGGCGAGGAGCTTGGCATCTGCGTGTGTGCGTCACGCGTGAACATTTCCCGCAGACGGGGGTCTCGGACACACCCCAGACCCTGCGGCTGAGCCGCAGCCCCAGCACCGGACACTTGCCTGTGTGAATAGTCGGCCATTTGACCCTGGCCGGGGGTCGTTGCGTCCTGCTGTGGTGGCCTTACCAGTGTCTCTGCTTTAGAAACTTGATTTTTGTCACTTGCCTTGTTTCTGACTGTTGGTGAGGGGCTGCAGCCTGACTCCCCCAGTGGTCTCCCTGTGACAGCGTGGTCCTGGGCTCCCCCGGGACGGACTCCCCGTGACAGCGTGGCCCTGGGCTCTGGGTGCTGCCTGTCAGCAGGTGCACCCGCCCAGAAGGGCACTTGGGAGGCGGGGGCTCCTCCTTGGGCGAGGGCTCAGTTACGGTGCAGACACCATGCAGCACCGACTTTTGTGGCTGGAAGTTTATCCAGTCTCCGTGCTCATTGGGGTCCCGTGGCGGCTCAGACTCCCAGGGTGTTCGTGCCCTGAGCTCTGGGGTCCCTGCCGGGGCCTGAGGGGAGGGGGGAGGGGACGGGCGTGCGGGTGACAAGCTGACTGCTTCCTAATGAAACCGCATTGCCGGAGTCCCACCCCAGCCAGTCCAGGGTCCCTGAAGGATGGACGGTGGCTATGAGGCTTTCAACAATGTTATGACCCTGTTCTTAGGTACTGAACTGTCAGCAACCTACAGAACGTTCTTACAGCAAGGTTGGGTAAATCTTGCAACTAAGAGAATAACAGAATATTCTTTAAGTGAAAACAGGATAACGCATACAAAGCTTGAGTCAGTGGCATTAAGACTGAGACAGAGGTTCATGAGTCGTTCTGTGAGGCTTTGATCCGGTCGAGGCTGTAGCAGGCTCTTTCCCAAGGTGGGATCAGTGATAGCAGAGGGAGATCCTGGGTTCTCTTCTCACGGCAGCAACTGTGCAAACGCTGCCATTTCCTCGCTGTGGCCGTGTCACCCAGCGAGGCCCGGGTGGCTCCCAGCACCGCGTGTCCTGGGGGGGCTGGACTAGGGCTGCCGCTCACCAGCCCGGCTGTTCACGGCCACACAGCACAAGCCGTGGGCCAGGCAGGGAAGCACGTGGCTGCGAAGGGTTGTGTTTGTGTGTTTGTCTGAATGTCCTTGCCTGAGGCGCGGGAAGGTGTGCTTGTCCCGGGGAGAGGCTCCCCGTCGCCACCGCAGTGCCCGTCGGCACGGCCTGTCTGCAGCAGGGGCAGCTTTCCTGGTTTGGGGACGTTGTTGCCACAGCGTTTACCTTTCAAGGAGTTCTCTCTATCCTGACCCGTTAGCCATATCTTTAATGATGCCAACGACCTTTTGGGTGTCAGCCCTGGATGGGTGTCAGCCCTGGACGGGGTCAGCCTTGGACGGGGTTCAGCCCTGGACGGGTCAGCCCTGGACGGGGTTCAGCCCTGGATGGGGTTCAGCCCTGGATGGGGGTCAGCCCTGGATGGGTGTCAGCCCTGGACGGGGTCAGCCTTGGACGGGGTTCAGCCCTGGACGGGTCAGCCCTGGACGGGGTTCAGCCCTGGATGGGGTTCAGCCCTGGATGGGGGTCAGCCCTGGATGGGGTCAGCGTTGGATAGGGGTCAGCCTTGGACGAGGTCAGCCCTGGATGGGGGTCAGTCCTGGACGGGGTCAGCCCTGGGCGGGGTCAGCCCTGGATGGGGATCAGCCTTGGATGGGGTTCAGTCCTGGATGGGTCAGCCTTGGACGGGGTTCAGCCCTGGACGGGGTCAGCCCTGGACGGGGTCAGCCTTGGACGGGGTTCAGCCCTGGACGGGGTCAGCCCTGGACGGGGTCAGCCTTGGATGGGAATCAGCCTTGGACAAGGTCAGCCCTGGATGGGTGTCAGCCCTGGATGGGTGTCAGCCCTGGACAGGGTCAGCCTTGGATGGGGGTCAGCCCTGGATGAGGTCAGCCCTGGATGGGTGTCAGTCCTGGATGGGATCAGCCTTGGACGGGGTTCAGCCCTGAACGGGGGTCAGCCCTGGATGGGTGTCAGCCCTGGACGGGGTCAGCCTTGGGTGGGGATCAGCCTTGGACAAGGTCAGCCCTGGATGGGGGTCAGCCCTGGACGGGGTCAGCCCTGGACGGGGGTCAGCCTGGACGGGGTCAGCCTTGGACGGGTGAAGGGGTACCAGACACAACACCGTATGGCGCCAATGTGGGCATGTCCCCGCCCTCCCCCTCGCGCTGACCCCCACTCCCGGGAGCCTGCCGCTCGCACAGGCTGCTTGGCAGGAACTGTCATTCACTCTCCCCGGGTCTGTGTCCGTGTGCTTCTCCGAGGCCGAGCTCACCCGGCCATTTGGAAGGGAAGCGCCTCCTGGGAGAATCTTCCTGGCACTGTGCGGGTGGGCCTGGGAGAAAGGGCTGAGTGTGACTAAAGCCACCGGAAGTGGGGACAGGGGTGCCTGGAGCGGCTGGTCGGGCGTCCCTAGAGCCAAGGGTCAGGCCGGTGGCCCTGCCCGCCGCCCACCCCGGAGGCCCTGGTCCCCCCCCCCCCGCCTGCTCTGACACCCTCACGCCACGATGCTGCACCGCAGAGCGGCACCGGTGTGTTCTTAGAAACCGGCAGTTCTGAGAACCGGGACCGGCTGAACCTGAACCTGAACCTCTCCGGCCTCAGCTCAGGGTTCAGGAGTTCAAGCCCCACGTCCGACTCTGCTGACAGCTCAGAGCCTGGAGCTGCTTCCGATTCTGTCTCCCTGCCCTTGCCCTGCTCATGCTCCGTCTCTCTCGCTCTCTCAAAAATTAATAATAAACATTTAAAATAATAATAATAAAAATAAAATGTAGTTGAGTTTCAGTATTTTACAGATTTTGGAGGTTGAGTTATTATTCAAAAGGCCTTGTTATTCCAAGGCTTCAAGGGAATTCACCCAATTTTTACCCCTGGGACTTTTACTTCCACGTAAACCCTTAACGCACGTGGATGTATTTTGTATGGTTTCAAGTATGGATGCAACTGTGATTCTCTAATCTGTGGTCCCGATGCCATTTATTGGAATCTCTGTCTTCAGCACATGTATCGGAGGCCCCACCATGAAAATACATCACATTGCTGTCCGTGTTTGAGTCTATTTCTGAAATTTCTGTTCTGCATCATCGGTCTGCTTGCCTTTTGATTTGTGGCGCCGCTAGCTCTAATTACAGAGGCTCCAGGACATGTTTTTATGGTTCCCATCACTTCACTGCTCTGTTCAAGGGCTCACCTGGCCATTCTTGCCAGCTGTGTTTTGTCCCTATGAAATCCAAATTCATTCTAATTACATGGTTACATAAACAAGTCAGCACGTGATTATGGTTCTATTTCCTCTTTGAGTTTTTCATTCTTCTGATTTCTTCCTTGTCTCATGGCATCGTTCATGTCTCTGGGACACTGTCCCCAGGAAGCATCCTTGCCGGGACGCCCCCTGTTCCGTGGGGCACAGGCTGAGATGTGGGCGCGCACGCGCGCGCGTCTGTGTGGTTATATTAGGGTCTTCTTTGTCAAGTATTTTAAAATCAAGAACAAATAAAATTAAGTTCATCCAGTGCTTCTCTAGCGTCTGGAGATGATTGTGACATTTGCATTTAGTAACGCCATCAGGAGGCGGCTTGTTCATATGTTTCCCACATTTAATCCTCGGCAACCTTCTTTCCGTGCTCCTGGCTTAAAGCCGTCTGTCACGATGTCGCTCTTCTAATGTGATGAGGATTCGGTTTAACAGTCATTTCTTGCTTCTGTCCCGCTCGATACTGGTATGTAATACACTCTGGAAATCTTTCCTGTCACCCCCACCGAGGCCAGGCTCACACAGCCTCTCCTGTTTCCCGCTCCCTGCCCTTCTGTGGAAGGGCCAAGGGACACTAAGCATCGCTGCTTAGAGAACTTGCCACTGCCTGCCCGTGAGCTAAGTATTTGCACCTTGGTCACCTCCCCTGTTGAGTGCCAGCTTCTCAAAGGCAGACTCTACCCCTCGTAGTGCCCAGTGATCACCACGGAGACGCCTCACTCTCTCAAGGGCCGAGTGTCGCACGGACCGTGGGGGTGAGCGGAACACTCGTAGCAGCCTCCCTTCTGTCCTAGAACTTGCGTCCAGGGCCGGAAGCCAGCAGCAACCCAGAGGCCGAGGAGAAGCCTCTTTGGGATGACGGGAGGGTTATTGGGAAGCCAGCTC